GGATTGCTGTTGGTATCACTTGGAGGAATTGACCTCCAGGCCAATTGGCTGTGGGGACCAGCTGTGTCTACAATGGAAGAGCTGCTGTGCAGGAAGTACCCTTATGGGTCAGGACTTGCTTCAGTGGGGCTGTTGTGCTCACTGAATCTACCCCTTGGGTGTGTCACTTATGGATGTGAAGAGTTGTAATCTGGTATGGTCTCACACTGATCACTGGGTACACTGTCTCTTGGATCTCCAAGGAGGTGCAAAGTGAGCCACTGCCTAGGGCCACCCAGCAAGAGCTACAGAGAGATCTGCAGATTTCTCCTCTTTGTATCAGATTTGGAAGTGCCCAGACAAGGCCCAGCTGTGAAGCAAGGCAGGATGGTGTTGGTGCCGGCCTTTTATTGATAGCTTTGGGGCTCCCTGATCCAGCTGTCGCTTGGTTGATATGGTTTAGGCTGAGAAAGGACAGGCCATTCATATGCAAAAGCCACTGCGCACAGCTTGGGTGGGGTTGTAAATCGGGTGGGTGTGGGGTCTCAGGGAATCTCCAGGGCAGAGCAAACAGAAATGTCTGCAGTCAGCCCTGCACCCAGGAGGTCCCAGCACAGGAACAATGACTGCTGGGAGCACCTCCGTCTGGAAGAAAGCCGGCCCTGCGTTCCTGCCCTGATGCCAGACAGTCCAGTTTCTCCTGTACCTGTCTGGGTCCCCCAGAGCCTTGCCCAACACTGGAGCTCAGAACAAGTGGGAGCTTGTAAATTCAGTTCGCGGTGCCGCCTTTTAAGAGGAGCGTCTGGGTCTCTAGCAGCCTGTGTATCACTCAGCTCCAATTCACACATGTTTTTACAGTCCGTAGTTCTTACTGCCTATAGGGTCTTCTTTTCCCAGCTCTGGAACCCTGGGCTGGGAGTCTGGTGTGGAGCTGGGACTCCTTGCTCCTCCAGGCAGCCTCCAAAGAGGTGATCTCCCTTCCGATTAAAAAAGCGGCACACCCGGGTGCTGGACCAGCCCGTTCCACACCTCCGCACCCCCTACCAGTCTCAGTGTGCTTTCTTCTATACCTCCCTAATTGTAGTACTTCCACTTAGCCAGCTCTCCCGTGGTTCTGGATGATACTTGTTCTGTATTTTAGTTGTAATTTTGATGTATTAGAGCAGGGGTCCTCAAACTTTTTAAACAGGGGGCCAGTTCACTGTCCCTCAGACCGTTGGAGGGCCTGACTATAGTTTAAAAAAAAACTATGAACAAATTCCTATGCACACTGCACATATCTTATTTTGAAGTAAAAAAACAATACGGGAACAAATACAATATTTGTATTTGCATGTGGCCCGCGGGCCGTAGTTTGAGGACCCCTGCATTAGAGGGTGGTGAGGGAACTGTGGTCATGCAGGGATGTCCCTGTTCTCAGGAGCTGTGTGGTATTTGTATTGGGGTGAAGGAGTGTGGCGGATGCAGCTTACTTTCAAATGGATGCGAGAAAACTGTGTATGTAGCTGAGAGGGATGATGCAACTATGGCAAAATGTTGACAATTGGTGATTTTGGGTAAAGGACATGGTGTGGTGTTCATTATACTATTCTTTCAAATCAGGGCAGGGGGTTCCTCCACTGCTGTGCCAGGGGCAGAGAGGGGGCCCAGATTCCGCACATCAGCCACTTCTCCCTCCCCACTGGGCTGATACAAGGAGTGCAGGGTCCTTCCCTAGGACCCTGACCAAAACGCAAGGCCCTTCCCCTGCTGCAGCAGCAACACTTATGCTCAGAGGGGATAACAGTCCACCCTGGCCCCACAGGCCCGGCCTGGGGAGAGCTGTGCGGCCAGCTGAATGGTTGCCCTTAAATCCAGCCTGGCTGTCTCCTGCATTCACTCACACACTGAGTGGCTGTGCCCAAGAAAACCCTTCACTTACCCTTTAAGTCACCCCCGGCTACATCTCAGGGTAGGGGTAGGCCCATGAAGGCTCCAGTTCTAGTTCATCAGAGCTACCCATGGTCACTGCTCAGCGTCACTAACAGGGTCCAGAGATGAGAGCACGCATTCCGAGCACAAGGGGTCTGGCCCACAGGATTGGGGTGAGCTCTGAGAGGCCCCAGTGGGGAGGGGTGGCAGCCCGAGTAAAGCTCCTGGGAAGGTCGCTCTGTGCATCCTCTGGGCCTGAGTCACTGGGAGACCAGGTGTCTGCAACCTAGCCTGCCCCAGGCCTTTCTAAAAGGCATGTTCTTACCACAGGGCATCAGAGCCTCCCATCCTTCTGCCTAGAATCCACGTCCTTCCAGCTGACCAGAGTGCTCTTGGCCAGGCAGGTTTGGTGGTGCCATCGAGGTCCCCACAGCTTGCTACCACCTGCTGTAGACTTGGATGCAGGTTCAGTGTCTGTCTCCCCACCAGAGTGCGAGCTCTGAATGGACTGCGGGCACTGGGCCTGGTAGAGGAACTCCTCGGGAAGCACGTTCAGTGCACTGTCAGGGTGGAGGCAGCTGTGGGGGTGGGGGTATCGAGTACCCCGTCCCAGGACATATGCAGAGTTGGGTCTGGTTGTTAGTGAGGGCAGCCCATCTTGGTTCCCATACAACAGCTATTACGCATTTATTTCTCAGAGGAAGCCAGTAAGTAGATGCTGTACACGTGTCCAGGTGAGGAAATCAAGAACTTGATTTTCTTGCCCAGGATCATGGAGCTGGTGATTGACAGCTGGAATCACGGCCTGTGCCCAGGCCCGCTGTCTTCATGGAGCTGCCGTTTGGGAGGGAGTCTGGCTTAGTCTTCTGGGGAGTCTACTCCCCCTGCCTTCTCCCAGTCTGGCCCACCCACCACAATAACACCATGAGCCCTTGGTACACGTTACCTCATTTATTCTCACAACATGCCTGTGAGGTAGGGAGGGGCAGGGACTGTCCCCATTTTACAGAGGAGGAAGTTGAGGCACACAGAGGTCAAGTGACTTGCCCAAGGTCACAGACGGTGGCCAAACTGGGATGGGGCCCCAGAACAGGCCCTCAGTTTACCCAGGGCCCCTGCAGCAAGTGCTGGACACGAGGACGTCTCCAGTGCTATAGCCTACACCCGGCAGAGAGCAGCCCTCGTGCACTGAGCTTGCTGCAGGCTGGGCCTCGCCCTCCCCTCCTCCTGCCCTCCCCACCCCTCCCCACAGACCCGGGCCATTGCAGCTCAGGGCTCATGACACCCTGGGAGTGGGGCTAGGAAGCAGGGGAGAAAGAAGGGTGGATGGGGTAAAAAACAAAAAAACAACAAAAAACAGAACAGAACAGAAAACTTAGAGGCTGGGCAGGTGGGAGACGGAAAAAAAAGGCTGCTTACACACAAAGTATATATTTTTACACACACTTGTACACACACCTAGATATAGTACATGTAAAAATATATGCTATTCACACACCTGCCTCCTGCCAGGTGCCCCAAGAGCCAGCAGTGGCGCTGGTGGGCATGGGTGAGCAGATGGGTGTTTGTTAAATATACACTCTAAGAGGTCTATGTGCATATGTACACATACTACAGACACAGCCGCCTGCCCCCCCGGGTACTGTACACAGGCTTAGCCAGGGACAGACAAATGGGGTCCCTCTCTCAAGTGTCCTCTGTGAGTCACTGAGCCATACATTTTGCTGGAAGAAGGGCTGGAGAGAAGAAAAAGGCAGGAGTCTGGAATGTGATACTGTAGCTTTTATCTCATTTCCCTCCCAAAGACTTAAACCCTCCTCATCTTTTCAGGGAAATGCATCGCCTGCTTGAGGGCTGGCAGATCACAGGGTGGGGGTTGCTTCTGTTGAGAGGAACCTACATCTGTGTGTGTGCACATGTGTGACTGTGTGTGAGCACTTGGTGGGGAGGGAACATGTGTCCATCTCTCTGTCCTCTGGGCTCTCCCCTGCAAAGAGGGCTGAGACCCAGAAAGCCACCAGCCGGGATGGTGACCCCTGTGTGAGCTCTGAAGGGAAAGAAACGTAAGAATGAAAACTCCGAGGTCAGCGTGAGGGTAGCTGGGAAAGGAAGGACATGGCAGGTGCCCAAGGCTGCCCTTGGACTGTCGTCTTGTAAACAAGCTCGTTTAAGTTCTCATTAGACAGAACAAGTAAAAAGACTGCAACCTGCAGGCTGGGCCGGGCGTTGCTGAAGTCCCTCCATCTAGTCCACCACGGCCAGCAAGAGGAAAGAAAGTTTTATAGTTTTGTGTTTTTGTTGACTTTTTTTGTGTGTGAAGTCTTCATAACCTAAAGCTGGGAGGGACCCAAAAAAGCCAAATTGTGAGCCCTTGTATGCATCAATTTGAAAGTTGGCTCAGGGTCTCTAGATAGAATAACCATACTAAAGGTTGAGAAAATTTTTGTTCCATTCGTATTTAGTTTGTGTGGTTTTTTTTTTTTAAATGACTGAAAATTGTTGGCTTCCTGCTTCCTGGTCTCAGAGCCGGGTCTGGGCCTCAGGGACGTAGATCTCGATGCTGTCCGCACTCTCTGTGGCCGAGTTCTGCCTCACGGAAGCTGCCCGCTTGGCGGCCAGGAGTCTCTTGCGCGCCTCCTGACGCTGCTTGTCCCCGGTGTCGGAGGCCTTGTCGCGGCTCACTGCCGGCTTGGATTTGGCTGGCTTCTTTGGGACCGGAGGGGGTGGTTTCTTTTCTTCCTTTAGTGAGACAGTGAGGAGGGAAGAGAAATAAAATAAAGGTGCCACCTTTGGTGTGGCACTACCACTCCCTATATGCTGGCAGCTGTAGTCTCCACCCCAGCCTCCCCGCATCGGGCACAAGCAACACACATTTGGAATCAGGAAGCCACAAGAAGCAATGATAGTGGGAATAGCACAGGCATAGGAACAAAAAGCAAGCTTAGAATCCTAGAATGTTCCAGCAGGAAGGGATAGACAGGTGACCTTTTCCACCCTTGCTCTGAACCATTGGATCCTGAGACTCAGGCAGGAATGACCCGAGTCACAGCCAGAGATGGGATTAAATTCAGGGCCTCCAACTCTCAGGCCACATGCTATTCTAGGGGATCAGAACTTCCAAGGCCCACAGTCCAGTTACCATAGGGTCACTGGTTCTGCTGTTTTACAGAAGAACCTGGGCCTCAGGGAAGAGCTGGCTCTGGTATACTCCTGCGTAGCCCCAGGAGAAGGACCTTTTTTCTGCCTCTGGAGTTTCAACAGCCTATTCTAGTGTTCAAGGCTGTGGGCACCTCTCCAAAGAGCCCCATTTTCTGAACATGCAGTGGCAAACTTCAGAGGGCAGCCTCACTACACAGAGAGAGCAGCATGCTAGACAAGTGCTGAGCATGGACCCCACGCATGGATGGACGTGAGCCCCCAGCTCAAAGACGACACATGGAGAAGGGAGCCAAGCAGCACTGACCGATGTGGGCAGCGTTATTGCCGACCAGGAATTTGTCCCTGGACTTCCCCTCCGCACTGCTCCATGCTCACCTTCCTCTTCTCGGGCGTCTCCACCAGCTGCCAGCTATTGGCCTTGAGATGGTAGAGTTCATCAAACTTCATGCTGATGTCCTCGATGGAGAGCTGTAGCAGGTCCCAGAACCCTGCCAGGTCCTGGGCTGTTGGACGTGGGTTGGCGTCAGGGTTCTGTGGGGCAGAGCGTTATCAGTGGGACAAGCAAGGCAGAGACATGTCCTGCACCCCAGCCACGGTTGGGGTCTCTTGCTCTCCTATTCCCAGGGTCAGTATCTGCATGAGTGAATTAAGGTAGTTCCTTGTTAAGGGCCATTAGTAAACACTCTGGCTTAATTTGGCTTAATTTACGTCAGCTGAAATACTCTCCAAGGGCAAAGCCACGCCCTGAAGGTGGAACCCAGTCAAGAGATTGGACGCCACTCAGTCTGACTCTCCTGCCCAGTGTTAAGGGGATGGATCTCATGATGTCGAAGGCCCACCCAGATGTGATGTAACTTCCTGTAATTAGAGTATATAATAAACAGCTTGCACTCTCTGTGTCTGTCCCTCCATCAGAGGGCAGGCTCTCTGTGTCTCGAGTCAGAGGGCAGACATCACACCCAGCCCAAGCTTTTATCTAATTTTATGTCTGTCTTTCATTATTCTTTAATCCTGAAAGTGCCTCCTAACTTGTACAAGCAGGTTCACGTCTCCCCCTCCGTGTGAGAAACTGAGAAAAGACCACACAGCCCAAGTGCACCCGGCATAGTTCCTGGTCACTACCAGCCCTGATGGTGGAGATCTTTGGGAGAAAGAGCAAGTCCTGTCATGAGAGTAGGCTCTGCACATACATGGGAGACTGAGGCCTTTGCCATCACGGTAGGGCTGCAGTGAGGAAGGCCCTCCTGCCCCTAATGCATGCCAGGCCAACAACAGTTCTCATTTTACAGGGAGAAAACAGAAGTTCCTGGCATGGTCTCACAGTCAGGTGGGGAGAAGCCAGGATCCCCTCCCATCATTTTGTTCTCTGACAACATGTTCCTCATCATGACTGTCCAAGCCAAACCCCTACAGGTCCTGGAGATGAACATTGACATTGCCCTCTACCTCTAGGAGTACAGCCCCTTTGGCGAGTTGGAGAGAGGTTTTCACACTCCCAGCAGGAAGGGGTGAGGGAGAGGGAAACCCATCAAGCCTAGTGGTGATATTTTAAAATTTCTTACCTTGACTGTTTTCTTCGATGTTTTCTTATATGCCTAATATAAATAAATCAATGCTAACTGAACTTTAACTTTCACTGGCTATTTTTATATCAGTTTTCTGTTTCAAAAGGTTTAGTGATCTGAAAAGACCACTCCTGGCCCCTTTCTTGCGCTAGGCATTGTCATCACCTTTCTATTGCCACAAGGAGGTCACAGAGGCTCAGAGGGGTTAATTCAGCTGAGGGAGCTGGCAGGCTGCCAAAGGCCAGAAGCCCTGCTGTGGAGTAAGAAAAAGTCACACTCACCAAGTTTTGCTCACAGAGGCCCCGGAACTGCTGGAATTTCTGGGACATCAGTAGCTGGGCACTGCCCACAGCACTGAGGACTTTTCCTAAGACTGAGAAAAAGAAGGTGGAATAGACTGACTGAGCCAAGCACAGGTTTCCTGGGTGGAAGGCAGGACAGGGTCATAGCTTCCATCTCCCTGCCCCATCTTGCGATACCAGTCATTATTAAGTGACTAGAGGCCCAGTGCACGAAATTCGTGCAAGGGGCTCCACCCTCGCAGCCGAGGCGGCTTGCCTCAGCCTTCACAGCCCCAGCTTCGTCTGGAAGGTCATCTGGTCTAATTAGCGTATTACGCTTTTATTATTATTATAGATGGCAGTTGGTCTTTGTGAAAAATGCAACAATACATAAAAATGAACTCCATTTTATGGCAATAAATTTGAAAACAGTTTAAGTGGAAAATTTTTCCAGAAAAATGTAAATTACTCTCATAAACTCAAGAAGAAATAGAAAATCTGATTAGGTAAATAACTGTTTTTGAAAAGTGAAGCAGCCCTGACCGGTTTGGCTCAGTGGCTAGAGCAGCCGTGGGCAAACTACAGCCTGCGGGCCGGATCCGGCCCGTTTGAAATGAATAAAACTAAAAAAAAAAAAAAAAAAAAAAAAC